CAGGCATGCAAGGCAAGCGCTCTACCACTGAGCCACCTTCCCAGCCCGAGTACATCTCTTTTTGAACCATGTCACCACTTCCCTCGCTCTCTCCCAATTTTTTCCTCCGGTCCCTACCCACAAAGTGAATAGTTCATTTTCCACATAGTGTCTAGTAAATACCATTGTATTTACTAGACATTGTGATCGCTCTTTCTTCCACCTTTTCTGTGCTCCCCCTTACCCTCCCAAAGACAATTAAACTAACAAACAAGACAAGAGGAACAGATTACAAAAACAGCAGCAACAACAAAAAATTCCTTTTCCTGGAGCTCATTCTGTAAGATTTGGGGGGAGTGGGGGACCTGGTCCTACGGCTTGAATTCAGGGCCTGGGCACTGTCTCTGGGCCTCTTTATTCTCAAGGCTAGCAATCTAACACTTGAGCTACAGCACCACTTCTGGCTTTTTCTGAGTAGTTCACGGGCTTTTCTGCCCCATCTTCAAACCCCAATCCTCAGATCCTAGCCTCCTGAGTACCTAGGGTTCCAGGCATGAGCCACCAGTGCCCAACCATAAGATGTTCTTTTATATGATCATATGCATATTGCTATTGAGCCTTTATGATCCGCTCCTGAATACCCTTCTTTTGTCTCACTGTGTGAATGTCTAGAGACCTGTATAATTTATCATATCCCAGAGTACTTTTTTAAACCATCCAGTATGCTTACTTGTAGATGTATAGGCACATTCTAGTTACACAAAATGAGGGAAACTATGCAACCTGTGTTTCTTTGGGCTTGGCTTACTTTGCTTAATATAATTTTTCCAAGTCTTTCCATTTCCTTGTAAATGAAGCAATGTCATTCTGATGGAAGCACAGAATTCCACTGTGTCTATATACCACGTCTTCTCGATACATTCATCCACTGAGGAACATCTGAGTTGATCCCATATTTCAGCTATGGTGAACAATGCTCTAATAAGCATGCATGTGCTGGTAGCTTTAGTGTGGCCTTGTGTTCTATTGGATAAAAATGCCTGAAAGTAGGATTGCTGGGTCATAGGGAAACTCTATGTTTAGTCTTTTGAGGAACCTCCATGCTGCTTTCTAGAGTGGGTGAACAAGTTTGTATTCCCACCAACAGTGAGCATTCCTTTTCAGCCACATCCCCACCAGCATCTGTTATTTTTAGTTTTCTTGATAATGGCCATTTTAACTGGAGTGAAGGGGGATCCCAATGTTGTTTTGATTTGCATATCTTTTATGGCCAGAGATGTTTAACATTTCTTCTTATGTCTATTGGCCATTCTTACTTCTTCCTCTGAGAAGTCTCTCTTAAGTCGTTAGCACATTTATTACTTAGGCTTTTGATTTTTGAGGGTTTATTTTGAGGGTTTTAATTTTTTGTTGCTCACTTTTTAATTGAGCCATTTTCTTACTAAGTTTTGAACATTCTTTCTATAGCTGGCCCTCTTCATATCTACAGGTCTGTGTCCACAATTCAATCAACTACAGACTTAAAAAGAATTCAAAAGCTAGGTGCGGGTGGCTCACGCCTGTTCTCCTAGCTATTCAGGAGGCTGAGATTGGAGGATCATGGTTCAAAGCCAGCCTAGACAGAAAAGTCCATGGGGACTCTTACCTGCAATTAAGCACTAGAAAACTGGAAGCAGAGCTATGGCTCAAAGTGGCAGAATACAAGTCTTGCATGGAAAAAGCTCGGGGACAGCATCTAGGCCCTGAATTCAAATCCTAAGACCAACAATCAACAACAAAAAGTATTCAGGTAAAGTATCTGTATTGAATATATGCACTAACTTTCCTTGTCATTATTATCTAAACAAGACAGCCTAGTAAGTATTGAGGGAGTATTTACATTGTATTAGGTTTTGTAAGTAATCCAGAGATTATTTAAACATATATAGGAAGATCTAATAGGTTATGCAAATACCTCACCATTTTATAGAAGTGAATTGGGCACCCATGGCAGGGAGAGAACATGGAATCACCCATAAACAAGTACTGAAAGACAACTGAACATTCTTGGTATAAGTATTTATTAGTTTATGGTTTGCCAATATTTTCTCCCAGTCCGTGTCTTGTCTTTTAATCATCTTAGCAATGTTTTTCAAAGACCAGAAGCTGTAACTTTGATGAAGTTCAACTAGCTAATTTTAAATTTATGGGCCATGCTTTCAGGAGTATTTTTTTTTAACTTTTACCTAGACCAAAGTCACAAATTTTTCTGTTTTCTCCTAGAAGTTTAACAGTTTTGACTTTCACAATTAGGTCTACAATCTAACTTTTTCATTTAGGACAAAGATTCAGTTTAATTTTTTCACATATGGTTATCCAATTGTTTCAGCACCATTTCTTGCGAAGATTAAAATGGCCTTTGTATGAGTCTGTCTCTGGGTTTCTATTCTGTTTCTTTGACCTGTTTGTCAAGGTGATACTACAAGGGTTTGAACTCAGTGCCGTGAACTTTCTGGCACTGTACCATTGGAGCCATGCCTGCAGTCTGGCTTGTTACTGGATATTTCAGAGATGGAGTCTAGCTGCTCAGGAAGACCTCAGGTTTGTTACTGGATATTTCAGAGATGGAGTCTAGCTGCTCAAGAAGACCTCAATCACCATCCTCCAGATCTTAGCCTTCTGAGTAGTAGCTTAGATTATAAATGTGAACCACTGGCACCCTGCAACAGCACACTACTTTGATTATTTTTAACACTTTTGCATTCCTACCAGCAATGAGTAAAACTTCTGTTACTCCTTGTCCTTGTTAACACTTGTATCTTCAGTTTAAAAGATAGTACATTTTTTAATCTATTATAATAAGCATGTAATAGTATCTCATCTCAATTGGAATTGTTTTCTTACTACCAAGTTTCTCATCTTTTTCATTTAAATTTTCCCTAATTCCCAAAACAAAAAATAATAACCATTCCAGTGTGTATCAAGACCTCTTTGTTGTGTTTCCTTGCACTTTCAAATTAGAAAATTTGCAAACTTTGCAAGTAGATATTCTGCCCCAGATTACTAAAGAAAATTAGCTTGAATTCAACCAAGCCTTTGGAATCACCTTTACTTCCTTTTTCTCTCACACTCCATGTTTGATCTGTCAGCAAGCCAATTTTGCCATTAAAATGACCAAAATCCAATCAATTTCTCATTATGATTCTATCATCCTCTCTGGCCTGGCTTCTATAATAATGTCCTACTGGGGGTGAGAAAGTGGCTTAGTGGTAGAGTGTTTACTTTGCATTTGTGAAACCCTGGGTTCAATTCCTCTGTACCACATAAACAGAAAAAGCCAGAAGTGGCACTACGGCTCGAGTGGTAGAGTGCGCTAGCCTTGAGCAAAAGCAGCGCAGGCCCTGAGTTCAAGCCCTAGGCCTGGCAAAAATAAAAATAAAAAATAAATGTCCTATCTGGTATCCCTAATTTGGCTTTTATTCACTTAAGTCAACTTGTAAAGCACCCACTGAAGTAATACTCTACCGGAATAACAGTCTACAAAAAGTATTAAGTTTGATCTCTTCACTCTTTTGAGCAAGGTTGTGAAGTCATGAAGGGTTAAAACAAACATTCATCATTGCTGAAAAGACTCCAACCCCATCAGACAATAGCTATCTCCTCTCCTGTTGCTCCTTTCTTCCTCATACTCAGCCATAGGCCTCCGGGCACATACTTCAAATCCTTTTCTTAGGTGTTCAAGAAATACTTCTTCCACCGATTTCTTCCTTGTTACTTTCCTCATTTCCTTCAGATCTCAAATACCAGTTGGGTTGTTTTCTTTGATTACTGTATCTAAACAGGCATGAACAGACAGACTTACCCACCACCCATTTATTCATTTTCTGAGTGCCACTATGTTTCCTACAGAAATTATTTAGTAATACTCCCTTACAGTGCTCACTGTGTACTGAGGTTTTTACAAATTAACTCACTCCTCACAATACTGTCGATGAATTAAGTATTCTTACATTTCCAAGAGGAAAATGAAGCCCAGCGACCAGGCAATTACTCAAATCACCCAGCCATCCAGCCCTCCAATGGAGCATCTGGGACTGTAGAGAGCCGGCCAGCTAGGCCTGGCTTTCTAATTACTTTCTAGTGATCGTGGGTCCCTACTGAAACGCAAGCTGCACTAGGGGGCACCCTTTGAAAAGCAGTCGCCCGAACTCGGGGAAGCTTCCGGCCAGCTGGTCCCTCCAACAGGTCAAATCATACCACGAAGGCCGGGGCGGAGCGGGGAGCGGGAAGGAAACCTGTCCGCTAGGCAGCAGACGTGGATCCTGAAAGCTCTGCGCGACGCTCGGGCGCTGGTTTGGGCAGAAGATTAGGGCAAATCAATTTTCAATGGCCAACAGGTCTAAAATTCCAGGGAGGGACCCGCAGGGAGGTGAGGCGAAGCCCAGGCCCCCAGGGATCTGGACGCTGAGGGCCGGCGTTCGGAGGCGGTCTGCGCGGCGGAAGCACGCCCGCCACGCCCACAGCCGCCGCGGGAGCCAGAGGACTTCAGGCCCCGCCCCGTGACCCGCCCCGCGGCCCCGCCCCTGCCCGGACCGGCGC